GTTCACTCCTGGCATACAGCTTGATGTCATCCATGTAGAGGAGGTGGCTGATGGTTGCTCCCTTTTGTAGTCAGTATCCGTAACTGCTCTTGGTGATGATCTGGCTGAGGGGGTTCAGGCCTATGCAGAACAGCAGCGGGGACAGAGCATCTTCTTGGTAAATACTGAACTTGATGTTGACTTGTGCAATTGACTTGAAGTTGGCCTCTAGGGTTGTTTTTCACATTCCCATATAGTTCTTGATGAAGGCTCTTAGAGTCCTGTTGATGTTGTACAGTTCCAAGCATTCCAGGATCCATGTGTGAGGCATTGAGTCATAGGCTTTCTTGTAGTCAATCCAGGCAGTGCATAGGTTTGTATGCCTGGTCTTGCAGTCTTGAGTGACTACTTTATCAACCAGTAGCTGGTGCTTTGCTCCTCTGGTGTTACTACCAATTCCTTTCTGGGCGCTGCTCATGTATTGAGCCATGTGCCTGCTCATCTTAGCTGCTATGATGCCTGACAGGAGCTTCCGTGTTGTGCAGAGGCTGGTTATTGGGCGGTAGTTGGATGGTACTGCTCCCTTCTGAGGGTCCTTCAGGATCAGGACTGTCCGGCCTTCAGTTAACCACTCAGGGTGGGTTCCATCCATTAGTAGCTGGTTCACTTGTCCTGCCAGGCGCTCATGGAGTGAAGTTAGCAGGGCCTGGTGCTGTCCAGCAAATTCTGAAATGATACCCAGCCCTAGTACAGTACCAGGATCAGGGTCAGGCCTTGTTAAAAGGAAAAAAAGTCAATGACAACAATTAATGGCCTTTCCAACAGTTTTTTTTCTGTTACTTTACAGTTTGTTTTTTGTGCCCAGGAGAATATGGTAAATACAGATTCCCCCCCTCCTATTTGTATCTATAAAGAATGTTGAGACAGTGCAGCCAATTTTAAACTCAAAACATAGTTTTGTGTTGACCAATATAGCATTCAGAAAAGGCACTGAGAAAAGATGGGGCCCTGTTTTAGTATGCTCGTGGAACTGAACGCTGTGCTGAAAAAGAAAGTAACAACAGGGTTTAAACTCAGAAAAGGTCTGAACAGGTCTATAAAGATGCCTCTGCTGCACAGTCCCAGTGGGGTACAATGGATTAAATCCTCCAGTCAGACACAGGCTTGTCAAAACAAAACAAAACCAGCATTCAGAGCTGTGAACAGCCAATCAGGAGTCACCTCAGAGGATGATGTCATTGTGCTCTATCTAGCTTACCCTGCTAGATACACCGATTGCTGTCTTGGGTGTTGAGAGTTTGTTCAGAGCATCTGTGAGAGCTTTCAGAGTTGTAGCTTTGCATTTCGTTGCTTATGTTTGGCACCTTGTGACTGCTGCAGTAATCAAGCTATAAATGACTTTTTGTTAGTTGCTGAATGTTACTGAGCCAAATATCTTCACATATTTGACATAAATAAGACAGTGGAGTTAAGACATGCTAATTCTTACATGTTCTTCTTGTGATCTTGTTCTTTTAGGTCACAGAGCTGAATGAAGCACTATCCAATGAGGAGAGGAATCTTCTCTCTGTGGCCTATAAGAATGTGGTTGGGGCAAGGCGTTCATCTTGGCGTGTTATCTCCAGCATTGAGCAGAAGACGTCAGCTGACGGCAATGAGAAGAAGATCGAGATGGTGCGGGCCTACCGAGAAAAAATCGAGAAGGAGCTGGAGGCTGTCTGTCAGGATGTGCTTAACCTACTTGACAACTTCCTGATCAAGAATTGCAACGAAACACAGCATGAGAGCAAAGTGTTCTACCTGAAGATGAAGGGTGACTACTACCGCTATCTGGCCGAAGTGGCCACAGGGGAGAAAAGAGCCTCAGTGGTGGAGTCATCTGAGAAGTCCTACAGTGAGGCCCATGAGATCAGCAAGGAGCACATGCAGCCCACCCATCCTATCCGCCTGGGCCTGGCTCTCAACTACTCCGTCTTCTACTACGAGATCCAGAATGCCCCAGAGCAGGCATGCCACCTGGCCAAGACTGCCTTTGATGATGCCATCGCTGAGCTGGACACCCTCAATGAGGACTCCTACAAAGACTCCACTCTGATCATGCAGCTGCTACGAGACAACTTGACGCTGTGGACAAGCGACCAGCAGGACGACGAGGGTGGAGAGGGCAACAATTAGAGTCCATCCTCATTCTGCCAAAACATCACAACATGCGCGCTCACAAATGATGACAAAATAATAATAGTTGAAAAAAGTTCTTAGAAATATAAAAAAAGGGGAGGGGGTGGGAGGGAGATGGAACATCGGTGGCCAATTTAGCCCATGGTACTAACGTGGCTGCTGTTCTTTATTTTTCCAAAAATTAGGTGAAAAAGAAGTAGGAGGGCAGATAATTTTAGTTTGAGAAATAACCTACAATTAAAAAAAAAAGAGAGAGAGAATGAAACCCCCTCCTTGATAGCCTCTGCGGCATTTGCCAAAATACCACTTTAGAAGCAAGAGGTACGGCTTTCATCCGGGTGTGACTATTGAGTAGCGATACCTTCACACTGGCAGAGACTGGTCATATCGCGCAAATGAAGCTGAGCTGTCTCATTGTATTTGGTGAGGGGAGGAGCATTCAGAAATTGAGTTCCAGTGCTTGAGCAACAAGAAAATTAGAGTACCCTTGAATGTCATGACCTTGTTTAGTGAGAAAGACAAAGAGTGAATGAGAAAACAGAGCGGTTATGGAGAGAGTACGAGCTTGTAGGGATGTCACATTTCATTGTGTACCCAACATCTTCAGTTGCACCACACTATGGTCATTGAGTGAGAAAAAGGCTGTCTGTTATTGAAGATAACATAAAAGTTGTTTATGTTTGCTTTGTGTCAGGTATGTGTCCAGCTCAGTCACACAGTCATACTGTAACTAAAACATAAAGTCATAAAGTAAAGTTAGTGCAGCTTGTCCCTCTCATGTGCTGATGTGCTTTCTTGAATAAATTAACTTGTTTTTGGACACCTAATTTTTATTGTCAGCATTGTCGTTACTATAACATCTTGTATTGCCTCCTAATGCTTTAAGAAAACAGTTTGTTTCACAAAAATCCAGATAGTTAAATAAATAACTGGGATTTTTAAAATGTAACTGGAAAATATGAAACAATAGAGGAGTCCACCCTTACTCCAATTATGCTATCTTCATAACAATCAATAAGATCTCTGAAATGGCACCTGGAACCACATACTGATCAGTGAACCAAGTATAATTTGTGGACAGAGCACATGCAATGTTAAATGGAAGCTCTAAGAGCAAATTTGGGGTTTGTGGATTTACTTTGTCTACACTTTCTTCTTGGTCAAGAAATGCACTTACCTATAATACTGTTTCTTCAGTGTAAGATGATAACTGCTCCAATATTCTCCATAATACAATATTGTGCATGCTGGTGATGTATTTATACAGTAGCTTCAATTTATTAACTTAAACTGTAGGTGTTATGTATTCATATGAACCTGACCTTAATTGGATTATTTTCTATTTATTTCTTTCTATTGCGATTGTTAGCGAGAACTTATTTTATTGTTTTCTTTACTCCATTTGCTGAGTACGCTATACCAATACAGTGGTTGTCAACAATAAATTGATATGTTATGGACATTGCTATGGTGACATGCAATTCTTGGTAAAGTTGACAGAAACTGAAGACAACATACTAGTTTGTGATATTTGACAGTAGGAATTTCGGGTGTTCTCTGATCTCTGAGATGCAAAAACAATTTATGGTAAATATACAGTGGATAAAATTAACCATTAATCCACAGCAAAATTCTCCTGGCTAGATTTGTTGTACAGTAAAGTGAGCCAAATTGAGGTGAAGTTCTTTAGTGCCTTAAAGGAAATGTTTTAATGCAGCACATGTAATGTAATCTAGAACCTTCTTCACCTAACACTACACATTATAGCTAAAACATATCCACTATTTACTGTACAACAGCAGTGAAAGATGTCATCTCTTTGTTAGGACACTTGGTAGTCATTGCTCAGAGAAGTAAACAATTTAAAAATAAAAGTCCTGCAGTCAAAATTCTAAAAAACTATTGTCAGTAAAAAGAAAACAGGCCCCTTCGAGGTCTTTATGGTTCCAAATAACATATGTTTATCTTGTTAACATGTGGGTATGTGGGGCCTTTAAGCTGTTATAATGTATTATATGAGCTCACCATATCTTTTGTGTGTTAAAAAAAACACACTAACTACGACTTTTAAATAAATGTAGTGGCGTAAAAAGCATGATTTCCTCAGAAAGTATAAAATAGCATAGATTGAAAATACAAGCACCTCGAAACTATATAAACTCGAGTGAGTAAATGTTCATTACTTAATGATGCTAATGATTTAGGAGTGAATTAATTCTTATGATGCTAACAGACTGAACCTAACAGTTTCCAGGTAATATCATGCTAATTGACTAGATTTCCCAACCAAGGTCCCAACCAGGTCATGATGATCGTAACGTCGTGATGTCATCTGTGTTCCAAATACATTATTTTAAATGTCTTTTAACTTTGATACTCTTATTCACTCATTCACCATAAATCAATGGACATTGTGTCCCATTTTTAAGCAGTAGAATCCCATGCCAAGATTGACAATGAATAAATATCATTATCAATTATCTCAGAAAACGCTCATAAAAACAATAATATTGAAATACATATTATCAACTAGAAATACATTTAAGTCTATTAACACATTTCCATAAAAACAAAGTGTTTAAACATCCAAAAGTCTAACCAGGTAAAAACAAAAACATCCCTCCCCATTCTACTGCCCTTAGTCTCTTCTCCTGAGAACCCTTCAATTTAAATAGATGGACAGTTCCAGCTCGGGCCTGGCAGTTCTCAGTACAAAAGTTATTGATACATGCCACAGAAAGGACAGGGAACAATGTGAATCATGTCAATATTAGCAAAATATCTGCCAATTTAGTATGTCTGATAAAATACCTGACAACAAATAAGAAATATGAATTCCAGATACATGTAATTACATTGACCAAAATTCAATTTAAAGATATCTTTAATGGGATTTTGACTAGTCATAATTCCAGTTAGATATAATTGACACATTTAAAATAATACAAATTATTTTTTATCACAAATTAAGATTTCACTAGTCAAAACTTGGACAAGTAATGGACAAGGACTTGTCCATTACCTTGGGTGAAGTTGCCGAGAGGAACTCCTCGGAGGCAAGGCTCCGGGGGCGGATAAGGTCCGCCCCAAGTTTCTCAAGGCTATGGATGTTGTGGGGCTGTCTTGGCTGACGCCTCTACAGCATTGCATGGAGTTTGGGGATGGTGCCTCTGGACTGGCAGACCGGGGTGGTGGTCCCCCTTTTTAAGAAGGGACTGTGTTCCAACTGTATGGGGATCACACTTCTTAGCCTCCCCAGGAAAGTCTATGCCAGGGTACTGGAGAGGAGAATCCAGCCGATAGTCTAATCTCGGATTCAGGAGGAACAGTGTGGTTTTCAGCCCAGCCGTGGCACGCTGGACCAGCTCTACCCTCACTAGGGTGTTGGAGAGTTCATGGGAGTTTGCCCAACCAGTCTACATGTGTTTTGTGGATCTGGAGAAAGCATTTGACTGTGTCCCTTGTGGCATCCTGTGGGAGGTACTTTGGGACTATGGGGTGCTTATTGTTACGGGCTGTCCGTTTCCTGTATGACTGGAGTAGGAGATTGGTTCGCATTGCTGGCAATAAGTCAGAGCTGTTTCTGGTGCATGTTGGACTCCGCCAAGGCTGCCCTTTGTCACCGATTCTGTTCATTATTTTTATGGACAGAATTTCTAGGCGCAGCCAGGGAATGGAGGGTGTCTGTTTTAGTGGCCGCAGAATCTCATCCCTGCTTTTTGCGGATGATGTGGTTCTGTTGGCTTCATCAGTTCAAGACCTACAGCATGCACTGGAGGGGTTTGCAGCTGAGTGTGAAGCGGCGGGGATGAGAATTAGCACCTCCAAATCTGAGGCCATGGTTCTCAATCGGAAAAGGGTGGATTGTCCTCTCCGGGTTGGGGGTGAGTTGCTCCCTCAAGTGGAGGAGTTTAAGTCTCTTGGGGTCTTGTTCAGGAGTGAGGGAAAAATGGAACAGCAGGTTGTCAGACAGATCAGTGAGGCGTCTGCAGTAATGCAGTCTCTGTACCGGTCTGTTGTGGTGAAGAAGGAGCTGAGTCGTAAGGCGAAGCTCTCAATTGACCGATCGACCTTTATTGAGAACAACCATAAGAACCTCATAGTGCTAGTGGAAAAAGTATGTGAACCCTTGAGTTAAATTACCTGAGGTAAAGAAACAACCTCGAGTGACAGCCAATTCGAGTAGTTATTAATTTCAGGGGTTCACTTACTTTTTCCACCAGCATTTTGAATGTTGAATGAGTGTCTTTAGACATTAAAGATCAGAATTTTTTTGTGTTGTTTTTGTAGTCACATTATATTTGTCAGTACTCTTGGCTTAGATGAAGATCAGATTACATTTTATGACAAATTAATGCAGAAAACCATGAAGTTCCAAAAGGTTCACATACTTTTTCTTGCCACTGTATGTACACTGATCAGGCATAACATTACAACCACCTGCCTAATACCTGTTTACATAGGAGTCGATGTGACGGTTGGCACTCATGTCATTCTGCAGCTCACTGTGCATCCTCTGTGAATCCATGTGCTTCCACAGTTCTACTGTGAGGAAGAGCACAGATGTGTCTACAATTCAGTGAAAAACTTATGGAAAAGGAATGAAAACTGTGGTCATGAGTGACAAGTTGAAGAGAATTTTTTTTGACAAATTCAACAGCCTCACCACTCTAGGTGTGATATCACCACTACAGCCCCTGACTCTTTCTCTTCATAGAGACCAATGTACAGTATTTCTCATTTTCAACCATTTTAACAAAGATTCCAATAAATTTTAATCTTTTGAAAAGTACTAATGGAGGCAAAAAGTTTAATCTACAGTAGGGCAACCTCAGTGAGCCATGGGCATCCATGACCCTGTCTCCAGTTCACCATTTGTCCTTCCTTAGACCACTGTTGGTAGGTACTAACCACTACAGACCAACAACACCCACCAAGACCTGCAGTGTGGGAGATGATCTGACCCAGTCATCTCACCATCACAGTCTGGCCCTTGTCAAGGTCACTCACATCCTTACACTTGCCCATTTTTCCTGCTTCCAACACATCAACTTTGAAGACCGAATGTTCACTTGTTGCCTAATATACCCCACACACTGACAGGTGTCACTGTAACGAGATAATCAGTGTTATTCTCTTCACCTCTCAATGGTCATAATGTTATGCCTGATCGGTGTATACACACACACACATATAGACAGTATATGATATTCTCTTATTTAAAATGAAATGGTTTGAGATTAATATTTGTTGAAATTTCCCTTAAATTATCTGTCCTCACTACACTTCAAAATCTCATGACAACGTCTTTGGAAAAGCCACCCCTCTTCAGCTTGTCAGCCTGAGTACAGGGAGGACACAGATCTGAGAAGACCTAGTCTGCAGTATGGTAGCTAACCTGCTTCCCATGAGGCACTTCCCTGGTTTACAGGCTGAATAGCTTCTGGATTGATGGGGACTGGCATGAATAATTTAGGCCTGCATTAAACTGGAAGGAAATTGTGACTCATGGAAGAAGAAAGGTTGAAATGCTAAGTGGTTCAGAGACCACTGCCTCATCTATGAATGACACAGCTTCCACTTGGTTCTCACCATGTAGCACATCGAAGCACTGAACACCTGAACACAGTACATATGGCACTGCATACATTACATTCAGTGTAAATGCATACATCCTGAATACCATGTCTGCTTTAGTGCTCTCTTTCTCTCTCTCTCTCTCTCTCTCTCTCACAAACACACACACACTGTATCTTTAATTTATGTGTGTTAGTGTCAGATGTTTTACAAATGGCTCAAATCAAACCAATGACAGTTGATAAGAGCCTGTTAATCACTACAGGTCTGGAACCATAAAAAAAAGACCTCCACCAGCTCATGCTCTACCCTGTGTAACTCTGCAACACACTGGAAGCTCAGTGCATAGCAGAGTGCTCTATAAATAGATCTCCCCTGCAGCTGTGGAATCAAGAGTAGAGTGCATTAGTGGGCTGGCATGCAGCATTAATGACTACAAGTTGACAGGAAGGAAGAAAAAGAAGTTATGAAACCATCCATCCACTCAGTACATCCAGTTATGTTGCTATCTATCACTTCACCCTGCAGTGACTGATAGTGAATTGCAGGGAGATGAGCATGAACAGAATTTCATGTAGAATTACCTTTATACATGATTACACCTCTACTGGGTTCCTCTACATATTGTAGAGGAACCCAGTAGAGGTACAATCTCTAATGCTACATACTACATCCGTAAAGCCACCAGTATGCCATTTTCAGGTGGTTTACACAATTAGAATACACTGTACATGTACACAGACACAGTGTGCATACCAGAGTCAAGCTTGAGCATGATTTGCAGTCTGTGCAGCAGATGCGTTATTATATACAATATATTGAAAATCTCTAAAATTGACATTTAATGCCAAATTTATGCTTGTTTTATTATATGCCTATATTT